GGCACGGACTTGACTGGGAGGCTGGGTGAAGGTTATCAAGTGGGTTTAGGGTAGGGGGAGAGATGGGATGGGTGGTGTGACATGCTGGTGGTAACTGGTTGGAGGAAGGTGGTAGATTGGAGGGATGCGCTGGTTTGGAGATGGTTGTGGTGGCGTTTTATGGTGTACGTTTGGGATGAGGTACTGAGTTGGCAGCAAGTTGAGAGGAGATTAGATGCTATTAGGAGATGAGTGGGGAGGCTTGTGTGGGTATGAGGGGTTGGGATGGGGAGGTGGTTGCTTTGGGGAACAGGCGGGCTGTGGACCAGGGTGGGGATATTAGGCAGTAAGGGCAGGTTCAGGGCGCAGCTGGGAGAGATGAACTGATTTGGAGGAGATGTTAAGAGTATGGCATGGCAGGTTGGGTTGGGGCAGGTGATGAGGTGGGATGAATGGAATGGTTTGGGTGTCGGGATGAACCTGAGAGGTAACCACGGGGTATAAAGTGGGTGATCTGGGTTTGATGTTAAAGATCTGATGATCGAGTGGTGCCTTTATCCGTTGATTTGGCAGTGAGACCAGTCAGTTTAAAGACTAGGCTCTGAGCAGGCAACTATTGGATCTCCATCAGTTATTTCAAAGCAAAAGTACTAGCAATCTCAAAAGATGTCAGGTCATCTAGGCCTCTGTTAAGATATGGTGTGTGAACAGTGTCACTTCCTCCTCCTACTACGTGGGTGTTTTTATCCATTGCATCTCGAATCCTGTGGAGTTCCTGGTCTTTTTTTTTTTTTTTTTAATTTCCTGTCCAGCATTTAGCATTTGCAGATCCTGCTGTTTAGGCTGCCTGGGGTTTTTTTGTTTGTCTGGGGTTTTTTTTAATCCTTGTATGTCACATATTAAGACCCATAATTAGAAACAGTTGGGGGGGAACCTCTTGATAATCTTTGAACATTAGCTCTGTCATATAAATGAGATAACAGGTAAAAATCAGTTGGCTACCTGTAATTAAATAACTGCTGCAACTTTAGAGCAGTGCCTATTTTTAGCCTTGCATGTTCTGTTTGTGCCATCTTATGTGATTTTGGAGGAATCTTCTTTATTTGTAGTCATCCCTGTAACAAGTGTAGTTTTCTCTCTTTTTAGGGAGCGCAAACCAAAAAACATCTGCTGTGCTGTTTAACGTGACTGGGCTTGTGTGGAGTCTGGTGCTCCTCTGATCCCTATTTCCCTTTGTCATCCTCAATGAGCAATCCCCCTCCCACCAAGTCTGACTTGCTGGGATTTGTTGTTGGATTTTCAGCCTTATCCACGTGCACAATTTGTGCCACTTGTAATTAGGATAGTTTGGTTTTGCTTTTTCCCCCTGAAGGAATTAGTTAATAAAGGGTATTCACGCACCAGCTTTGGTTATGTGAGCTTAGCTAGCACAGCTTTTGTCTGTAGAAAAGGCCTCCCTCTTTTAAACCTCTAATGGAGCAGGATTCTTGTTGACAAAGCAGGCAGTGAAATGAAAGGACAGGCTGATGTGTGTAAGAGCTCCCCGGTGCATTGCTGCTTCTACCAGTTAAAGAATGTCTGTATTTTTAAATGTTTTATGGAGTGACTTACAAACTCAAAGTGCATAGAAAATCAGTGAAGTAAATGTTTGTGGATTTGAGGGGGGGGGGGGGGGGGGATTGTTTCTCTAAATAAAGATTTAAAAAAAAAAAAATATTATTATTTTCTTTGTGATGCTGGCAATCTGAAATGTTTTCCAAATGGAAAACAACTGTAGTGGCTGGGTAGTGCATTTTAGTGTAGGCCTTCAAGCAGTTCCCAAGGTAAGATTTTTCAGAGAGGCAACCTGAATGTGAATTGATTTGTGACTCCATTAGCTAGGAAATAGCTCCAGGAGTGAGAGTCGTTGTCAGTGTGAGAGAGCAGAAAGTCTCTGCAGCTGTAAATTCTTCAGTTTACCCATCTGTCCCTCTTAAGGAAAAAATTAAATATGGGAGATGCTAAAACTGTTTAAGCAATCTTAGGCTGAGGTTCTGGTGGTTGCTAAGCTCATCAGCTGACAAAAGGAGCTCTCGCTCCTTCCTCTTTATCCCTGCTCGTACATAGGAGGTGTTATTCCCTTTCTATAGAGCACTGTGATTCAGTAACACATTGAAAAACTCCCTCTGCCCAAAACATGAAGAGTTTTCTGTGGGGTTGCTGGAAGTGGCTGTGAAAGGGTTTGATGTGCCCTCACACTGAACTAAGGTGACTGCCAGAAGTCGAGAAAGTAGGGGAAGATCTAATCCTTTTGGCAATGGTGAGCTGTGAAGTTCAGCCTATTTCTTGTAAAAATATACCAGACTCCTTCAGGCCTGCTTGTTCTTCACCTGTCGTTTTCTTATATCTGTATATATTACCAAGCTGTCACTTAACAGAGGTTTCACTGGCAGGAGGAGCATTTGCAGATGGAATCTCCTGGTAGATTTAAATATGGGGGAAATATATTTGGGGGTGAGGAGTGAGAGCCAATTTCTTTTGAAATAGATTTGCTGTAAACTTTCTGCCCTGCAAGGCTGGACCTTGAGAGAACAGACTGTAATGAAGCATCTCCTTCAAAGAACTGTTAAAGGAAAAAACTACAAGTCTCTTTAAAAATCTTAAGTGATAGATGGAGTTCTGCTGCAAGCTCATCAAGGAAGATGTTGCTCTTTAGCAGTGAGCTGTATTTGTTTGCCCTGTAGTCTTTGCAAGTGTGGTAGTTGAACTAGATTCTTCATTTCCCACAGCAGAGCTTTCTGTGGTTTGTGGGGGTTTTGGGGCAGCTATATCTCAAGAAAAAGGTTTGTTGGGTTTTTTTTGCAGTTGTATTCTGCAGAATCATAGAATCATAGAATGGTTTGGGTTGGAAGGGACCTTAAAGCTCATCCAGTTCCAACTCCCCTGCCATCAGCAGGGAGACCTTCCACTAGACCAGGTTGCTTGAAGGGAAGCAACCACCTTAGTAGCTGGGTAGGTGGAGGCACACATTTGAAACATTTTCTGAAGAGAAGCACTGAAGGCTGCACCTGGATTTGCTGACATTTCCAGCTCTCTGAGGCTGAAGTAGTTTTCCCTGGTCTAATTGACCCAATGCCGCAGCCAGCTGTTATCTCATTTATGCTGATGCAACTATTGGTGAAGTCACCTGTAAATCTGTTAATTGACATCATCTGTCAAAAAAAAACCAAACCAAAAGAAAACAAAAAACCCCAAACCCAAACACCCAAGCAAAACCCCAAAACAAGCAACCAAAAAACCCACCCACACACCAAAAACCAAACCCACATTAGGGAGTTGTTTTTAATCTGCAGTGCTTTAGCAGCCTGGTTTATGGCACGACTCTACATACTCTATTGGCAGAACCAAGGGGAAAAGGGGCAAGTGTCAGCTTTACTACCAAAGGCAGCAGTGTGTAACTATCTTCCCTGGGTGTGGTTCTGCCATCCCTTGAAAACAGAAATGAGATGTGTCTTCATGTCCTTTTATCCATGGCCTATCCTCATGTATCTCTGCGTGGGCACGGAGCTGCTGGCACAAAAGAGGAGAGAGCAGGACAGACCCTTTTGGCAGTGACATACCCAGAGTGCTTTCCTGGAGAATGCTTTTCCAAAATACCAGTAGCTGTAGTAAAGCAGATAGACATGCTTGATTTATACCTGTTGATCTGTACTAGAGGTAACAGTTGAGAATGTGCCACTAGCACTGAGCTTGGGTACAGCTGTGTGAAGTTAAATATGGTGCAGGAGGGCAGTGCTTGGGCTTAGGGTCTGAACAGGACAGGAGGCAGGTCATTGTTACTGATCTATGTTCTGGTGTGCTTTCTGAGCTGGTCATTTAATCACTAATTCTTTTTTTTTTTTTTTTCTTCACAACAGGAAAGTAAAAGGAGGCAACATAGATGTGCATCCATCTGAGAAAGCCCTCATTGTCCACTATGAAGTGGAAGCAACAATTCTGGGAAAGATGGGAGACCCCGTGCTGGGGGAGCGCAAGGAATGTCAGAAAATGTAATGTCACAGCGAGTTCGGATAGCTTTTTCTGTTTTTCACAGAGTCATAAATTCAGTAACTCAAAGCATCAACAGCCTATAAGTAAATATGTTCTAATCTTTATAAAACTTAGTGCTAGATTAGTGGAGGGCTTAGGAGCCAGGAAATATGTGCCTAGCAAATTTAACATCTAAAACACATGTTGTAAACTGCTTTTCATCCACGTACTTCAAGCTGTTTTGTAAAGAAAAGTGATTATTCCCATTTTATGTGATAGGAACTTGAGGCAGAGAAAAGTGATTGGTTCCTACTGAAATGGTGGTTAATGTTGGAGCAAGTAGTGCTGTTGAATCTTCTTGACAGCCTTATGCCCTAGCTGTTGGCTCTCCTGTTGTTTGATCTGTCAAACAAGTGATTTCACTAAGGTATCTGCACTTCACCTTACCTGCTTCACCCCTGCTACTGAAATCACTTCACCCCTGCTAGTAATTTCACTAAGGTATCTGCATTTTAGTTTTGCCTGGTATTTTCATTTTAAGAGCATTTTAAGAGCATTAAAACATTCATCTCCAGAAAAGCCCAGAGACCTATCATAACTTTAGTTTCCAAGCTGCAAGTCTGGACCTTTCCTAGGTGTGTTTTATCTCCATATTGAATTATTTTTGAGAATTCGAGCTGAAGTGGCTACCCATGTGAGTGCCTGTAAGAATAATTGAAGAAGAAAAAAAGAATCCTTAAATTGTCTCAAATTTTTGAAGATATTGAAACATTCATCTGTTTTCAGATGAATCAGCATAACTTGCATCTGCAACGTGGTAGAATTCCTTTTTGATCCATCCTGTTGTTAATACCCACAGAGAATTCTTACTGCTTGTTGCTTCTGGACTTGACTGCAGGTCTGCCAGAGCTCTGGGAGACTCCTGACACTGCATCTGCAGGCACTGCAAAAGAACCTTCCTGTGTAGTCAACACCCAAAGCCATTTCTCATTTTGGATTTTTTGTGTATGTGGTACTCCTTTGTGGTCCTCTGCACTTTTTTTTTTGGGTGTATTGCAAATAAATTACTGGCTGCTGTGGGTAAGACGATTATAAGGGATCTGTTTGTACAGCTGTATTTAGTGTTGCTGCTTGTCAGCTGATGGACAGTTACACTCTGTCACATCTGTTTGACAGTTACTGGCCATTTGGAGAGTTGTAGAGAGCCACTGCTTTGGCATTACCTTTGTAAGCTATGGCACAGGTGTTGGGGGTGTCAGGATCATTTCTGCTTCAAGAAATTCATGACTCTGTGTACATAAATCAAAGAACTGAAGATACAAAAAGTTAAAAACTGAAGAGACACCTTTCTGTGTTGCAGCATTCGGCTAAAGAGTCTTAATGCAAATACAGACGTTGCTTCCCTGGCTCGAAAGGTGGTTGAAGAATGCAAGCTCATTCACCCCTCCAAACTTGGAGAAGTAGAACAGCTCTTGTTCTATCTGCAGAATCGCAGAGATGCCTCAGCAGGAAAAAACAGGAAAAGGTAAATAATACAGGAACAAAGTAGCTTGGGACTGGGGTGCTTCAGCATTGAACAACTGCTTTGTGAGGTTTTCCTCCTGAGGTCCTAACTTGCTTGTTGTACGAGTTCTCCAGAGATAATGAGAGTGGGGAAGATGTGTAGTTAAATCACACTTGGAAAAAATTACAACCTTGGAGCAAGATTGGGAGGAATTATTTTTTTAACAACCAAAGTTGGGTTTGTTTTTGGGGTTTTTTTGTTAGTTAAACTTAGTATTGATGCTTCTTACTGGCTGCCTTGTGCTTTAGCAGGACTTGAGAGGTACAGATTCCATGATTTGGTGTAGCGTGTTCGTATTGCATCTACGCCTTGCAGTGTCATCAAAAGACTGTATGAGAGTCTTCCTAGAAAGATCTCTGTCGTCACCTGTTGCGAGGGTAGATAGTTTTTCTCGGCTGAATTTACACTGTCTGTAAAGCTGGAGTGAGGATTTTCAGAGTCTGAGAAGCTTTGGTACAGTGTAGCAGACAGTTTGGAGTAATTCTCTCTTGTCATCCTAAATTTGTGGTGAACAAGTTACTGAGAACAGTAATTCTCTGTTCTGATGCCAAGGCATTTTGGTGGTCCTAGTTATGTCTTAAGTTCATCTTAAACTTTCTGCTCAGGTGACAATGTCATATTTAATGTCCAATCCTACATTACCTTGTGGTTAGCAGGATTTCTTGCAATCATGAAATGACAAGCTTTGTGCTCAAGCTGGGTTCTTAACTTAATGAGATGAGTTTAAAACAAAGATAAATGTTATTTATATGCTTTGATTGTCACTGCTTTGGGTGTTTTACCTTCTTTTATTCTGTATATATGTGTCTTGGTGTATCACAGGGCGGCTTTGCCACAGTGTACGAGCAGAATCAAAGTTGCTAAGGTATCTCACTGTGGAAGTGAGTGTTGTCAGTCTGGGCTTGCACTAAGCTTTATTACCCTCTGTCTCCCCAGCTGACTGGGCTGTAACTGATCATTTAAACCGAGGAATCAAAAGGCATCTGAAGGTTTGTTTTGCTCCCTGTGGGCTGTTAAGCTTCAGAAACCTGACCTACCTTAGCTGTGTTAGTCAGACAGGTCAGCTGGACGCAAGAGGACTTTGACCTTGATTTAACCAGAATGTTTACTGTGAGAATACTGGATATGTTTTTTGTCTGTGAATATGCATAACTTAACTGCAACCATGTCTTTTTCTTTATAGAAAAGAAAGAGAAATCCAGTAAGCCAAAAGATCCACCCCCATTTGAAGGAATGGAGGTAAATATTGGTGTTAGAAGAGAAATGCAAAAGCCATTTACTTCTTAAGTAAGCGGTTATATAAGGGAGGGAGGGAGAGGAAATGCTGAATTCTGGGGTTTTATAGCTTCTTATTTTTTAAACAAAGAACTTGGTTTGGAAATACTGCACAATGGAATAAAAAACATCTCCATAAAGGGTAAAATATTTGACTTGCTTACTTCCCCCCTCCAACTGTAGCACGCAGCAGGATGGCAAGTGAGGTCTGGAACATCGGACAGGACACAGGGAGTCATGTCTAAGCATCCTTTTGTTTTTTGTAATTAAGTCTTCTTGGATTTCCTGGTGTTCATTGGCAGTGATTCTGGATGTGTTGATTTTTTTCCTTGTTTTCTGTTTTTTTTCCCCCCTAAGATCTTAACTCAGAGCTATGCACTCTTTTGTCTTGCAATTCAACAATGTCATGATTGATTGTCTGGAATTGACATCTCTTTTTCTGTGAAACCTCTGCTTGTGGCTGCTTTCAGATTGATGAAGTTGCCAATATCAATGACATGGATGAGTACATTGAGTTACTGTATGAGGACATTCCTGACAAGGTGCGTGGCTCTGCTCTCATCCTGCAGCTGGCTAGGAACCCTGATAATTTGGAAGAACTGCTTATAAATGGTAATTTCTCTTAATGTGCAGTTTATTTGTGGTGCTTTCTTCTCAAGGGAAAAGTAATTCACCTTTAATTTGAGATTTTCTCTAGTTTGCTAGGCTTTGCTTCTCAGTACATAATAAGCTGGCTGTCAAAGCCCAGTTGGATCTCTGTACAAATAGGTGCTTCTTAGGCTGTTCTTAGATGAACCTAACACAGAAATCTTCCTGGCCTAAATAGGCTTCAGCTTTTTTTTTCTGATCCTAGTTATTTTGATGCTAAATGAATTTCACTTGGCATTGCTGCTGGAGACAAGAGAATAGAGTGTTGTATCATGAAAATCAGGAAACTTGCTTTGAAAATGGGATTTGCAGGCTGACATAATGATAGGTGTCCAGTTTCCAAGAGAATTAAAAAAGTGAATGTGGATGCATCACCAAAGTATTTCACTAGCACACCATACTCTTTTTGCTTATGGATCCATTTAAAAATCTTACAAAAATGCATGATGGTACAACATTCACATTGCTGTCGTTTTGTGTCTGCATACATATGTGCTGTGCCAAGTGCATTTTGAGAGCTACATCAGTGTGGAATAGTGTGTGTTTGTAAATACATATGTGTACGTGTATATACATTTTCATTTCCCTTTGCCCCCTTTCTTCCAGGGAAAACAAAGGACCTTATACTCCTTTACCTCTTTTACTTATACCCCCACATTCCTTGAGTAAATGATTACTTCAATATGTATCTTCAGTATTATTTCAATTACTTTACCCATCCTGCAAGATTATTGTAAGAATTGGAATGGGAGGGGAATGACAAGCCATCAAATAATGGCTTGTTCCCAGGAGTTGTTGCAATATTCTAGTGCTTGAAATTAGCAGTTGCTGCTTTTTGCATTCTGATCATGTAACAGTGTACATGAAAAGGGACTAGACAGGGGAAAGTGAATGGATAAGATAAATAATTTGGAGAGCAAAAGTAAGATAAAGTATGACAAGAAGAAATATAAACCAAATTATTAAATAATACCAAATTGCTACGGGGGGGAAATAAATAGAAAGAAATGGATGAAAAAGGATAGTTGTCAAGGTAGAATTTAAAGGGGATTTGGAAGGGAATGTGGTGATGTTGTAGGTAGGGGCCACAGTGTAATATAGAACATACAGCTGGCAGAGGCCACAAGATGTTAAGGTCAGTGGTAGTTTTCAGATGACTTTAGTATTTGGTTGCAATTTCCATGCATGTCATCTCTTCTTAGGGTTTGTGACTGGGTGACCACCCAGGGTACCCTCTGTTTTAGTACTGTCTCCAAACAGACCTTGTCAGCAGTGTTACATGTTAAAAGTGAGATACCTCTGAAAATCTTCCATTAGAAAACTAATAGATGTAGAATGAGTTGTATCGAAGTTCTGACTCTCACAAGACAAAAGGAGGGAGGTGAAATTCTGATGCTCATCTAAATCTTGTTTCACTTCAGAAACTGCTCTGGGTGCATTGGCTAGAGTGCTGAGGGAAGACTGGAAACAAAGCGTGGAACTTGCTACCAATATAATTTATGTTTTCTTCTGCTTTTCAAGGTGAGTATAGAATCTCTGTGTACAGGGATATAAGGACATTCTCTCTGTTTAGTGGCTTTTTGTTTCTTGCACTGAACTACAAAACCTCACTGAAACAGGAAAAAAATCAGCTGAGATGGAAGCACACTTGTTATAAATGACAAAATTGAGGCACAAAAAGAACCCCCACAGTGAGTCAGCATGTAGTAGAGCTGTGAATAACCTAGTCAGGATTCTGACCCATAGCTTATAGGCTGACCTGCCACCTTTTGTTTCCCTCAGCATTCCTAGAGGGGAGAAAGGGTATTCAAAACTGAAATGAGTGTTTGCTCTTATTTAGATATGTCGGTGTTTCAGCATACCCTGTCTAGAAATCATTCAAATTGAATTTGCATTGCAACTTGATTTTAGACCTCTATTGTATTTCTGGTGAGTAGAGGGTCCTCTGAAGCACTTAGAACATGAAAAGTGGGGCTGATAGCAAAACATTTTCCTTTACTCATGGAAATTGAAACGTGTTTTTATTTTGACTCGGAACAACACACTGTTGCTTGTTCTTCTACGAGTTTGGAAAAAATATTCCTGTTTTCAGGAATTGCTTTTGTTTTGAAATAGTTTTCCAGTAAAGAAGTGTTATAATGGGGCACAGTGTAAATACATATTTTTTTTTAAGAGTTCATGTGGTACAGTGTTGGAACATTGCTACCATAGATGTCAAAACAGACCGGGGGTTGTTTGCAGTTTTTTTTTTTGCCTCAGAGGTGTTTTTTTTCTCCATGTAGTTTTTCTCAATTTCATGGAATAATTACACACTACAAAATTGGAGCTCTGTGTATGAATATCATAGACCATGAACTGAAGAGACATGAGCTTTGGCAGGAAGAACTTGCTAAAAAGAAGAAAGCTGATATCCTTTTGATGTGCTGGGGCAGCTTGATGGTTTCTGGCTTGTCCTGATAGCTGTTGTTGAGTTATATGAGATGAGCATACAGCCACTTCTGTGAAAGCAGTACAATTTACTAGAAAGTGCAAAATATAATTACAGGTATGAAAAAGACCAAGAGTGAGAATTTTGGGCTGCTGAAGAGATTAAGCTGGAGTTACTAAAACAACACAAGGAAAAAAAGAAAGTTTTGTCAGCAGTATGTCTTAGGAACATTTTTGCTGACTATTAGAATGTAATACATCCAGGACTAGGAGGAGAAGAAAAACCCAACATGCTGCAGATTCCAGGTGTAGCAAGCTGTTCTGCTGGCTATTCCACAGATCTCTTGCTTTTTACTAGTGATTGAGTAACACCTTTGATGACAGTAGTCATGCAGACTGTATAACTTTTATCTGAACTCCTTAACTTCTGCAATTTACTTGATGAAGATCCTGAAAATCAAACCCTGAAAAAGGACTATGAGAAAACTTTTAAGAAATATCAAGGGCTGGTTGTCAAGCAGGAACAACTGCTCAGAGGTACCAAATCCAATATTAAATTATTTCCTTGTTGGTGCATGTGGGTAGAGGGTTCCATTGGATGCTTTTTATAACCAGGACATCTTAAACATACTGAATGTATGGATGAATATGGAAAAGCCTGCCAAAGAATAGGGAGAAGATGAGTATTTAATCACATTGTTTGAGAGTATGCTACCAATTTTTAAAGTGATCTGTCAGTCTTAGAGGAAAAATAGGAAAAGTGATCCACTTGGCTTTTTCTTTTATCACAATGTTGCGTTGGGAGCAGTTGGGTATTTTGCTTTTGTACATTTGATTTGGGTTTTTAACTTAGCCCGTATCTAACTCAAGTTGAATAGCTTTCACTCTCTCTGTTTTTGTACTAAATTACACTTCATGTTAAATTGAAATTATCTGAGTGGCAAAGCTCTCCCAGGAAGGACTTTTTAATGGTTCTCATTGGAATTGAAAGAAAAAAAACATAACGAACTTCTAGTGATCATAATTTTTTTTTTTTTTTTGAAAGCCACTATTAGAATTAATCTTCTTAATACTTTCTAAACAGGAATAAAAAGTATTCATGGTCACTTTCCTTCAAAATGCATTGGTAAGGAAGCAGAATGCTTCTGAAAGTCTTGTTTTAAGCATTTAATGTGTATATAGAGACTTGTTTAGTTCTTTTGTCTTTGATCTGTTGATATGATTTGTATTGGACTTTTCTTAGTTGCACTTTACCTGCTCCTAAATCTTGCTGAGGATACTCGCACTGAGCTGAAAATGCGAAACAAGAACATTGTCCATATGTTAGTGAAAGCACTGGATCGTGATAATTTTGAGCTGCTAATCCTGGTTGTATCTTTCTTGAAGAAACTCAGCATTTTTATGGAGAACAAAAATGATATGGTAAGACTCATAGCATTCTAGTGCAATACTGGAAAGGTATAGACTCTGCTGACTTTGTGTGGTTGGAGAGAAGAGGGAGACATCTCTGTCCTTACCCTAAATGTCCATAGTACTGATTATCCTCTTTTGTTACTATTGAGAGAAAAGAAGTACGACATCCAGCTGTAACATACTGCAAAAACTTTTGAAGAACTGTCATCCTGAACAGCGAAGCTACCTCAAAATACGATATGTGAAATTCCAGATTTTCAAGGCAGCAACCCAAAGTCTTGTCATACACCCATTTATGGAGATGCCCATGACCCTTCCCCCATAACTAGACTCTTTTGACACCATATTACTGTCTCTGCCATGTATTGTCTTGGAAAGAGAGGTAGTTACCCTTTTGCAGTTTGCTAGACTAGTTTCCTAATTCAGCATGGTCTTCAAAGGCATCTCACAACTCTTCGTGCTACCAATATTCCTAAGAACTGGAGACAGTGTTATTCTTCTTAAGCTTTTTTTAGGTGAAATCTCAAACTTTTGAGACTGTAGCATTTTTTTTGTGACTTGAAGCTCTAGCCAAGTATCTCCTTTACTGATTTCCCAATGGCTTTTAGTAGATACGTGCCTTCACTTCTGTGCCTTTATGCCAGTTTGTTAAATGAAAATGATAAGTTTTCCTTATCCAAGAGGAAATCTGAGATTAATGTTACCTAGATTGTGAGTTCAAAAGATCTGTGTAAATGCAGTAGAAAATTAATTGCATCTTTGTTACTGGAACTGTCATTCAGTGCATACGCACTGAACACTGCAGACAAGAGGTATCTCCCTTATTTATAGATGGATATCCTATTTCTTAACAAAAGTCAGACACCAAGCATGTGTTTTGGGGGGAATGTAGACTGCTTATCAGGTGAGTGGTCATTGATTTAGTTTATACTTGTGTAGTGCCCTGAAGGACTTGTTTAGGAAAATAAGGATTAGCTCTCCAGCCCACTGATTTGCTGGCATGCATTCTGCATTCCATATGATTTAGTGGAAAAACAAATGAAACAAAATTGTTGAATTTATTTTATTGCTGAGCATTTTAACAGTTTTGGAAAGACTTTTGAAAAGGTTTGTATGCTTCAAGTCAGCTGTCTGAGTGTTTCTTACCGATAATAAAGATGGCACTTTTTTCTCCACAGTATTACTAAAGAAAGCTACCAGTGAAGGAGAAGGTGTTCTAATATTTATATTAGGCAATAACACAAAAATGTTAAAGGCAAAATGAATCAAGATTAGTTGTGCAACACCTCATTCTAAGTAAAACTGAATAATCCACGTATATTTATAGCACATTCTTTCCTTTGGTATTCAAGTGCTATATTAAATTCAAAACAGTCAAGTAGGAGTTCTTGTTATCTGATTGTTTTTGATCAAAGATATCCAGTCAGTTGTTTGATGATTGCACTATGCCGTGTGGGGACAGCATAGTTTCTTTTCTTAGTATTCATTCTGTGGGTATTTATAACTGGAAGGCTAGTTACATACATGCAAAAGTTTGAAGAATGCAAATTTTATGTGCTTCCTTCTGGCCAAAGAAGGAAACCAAAAATGAATGCATTTAAAAGATTATATCAAATAAAAGCAGAGGAATGTTGCTTAAAAGATGATAAAAACTTTCTGAAGTCTTGCCAGTCAATGCTCGGATGTCTCTTCTGGCTGGTAAAGTGAACATGATCTCAGGAACTGATACCACTACTTAGTTCCTGGATTCCACTTTTGAATTGGAAAGTGATATTTGTTTCAAGATGACTTTCTTGCTTTTATTAAATTAACGTACAGGATGGCATGCTTCTTCTGAGAGCACATGCAAAGTTCTATCTAGGGCTTCATTTGAAATGTCTAATGAAAAGTCTCAGATTCTTTTTGGATGCCAGTTTTCTGTCTTTCTTGGTTGGGTATCTCTTTGACTCAAATGTCAGTTGCTCCAGGGTTGTTTGTGTTTGAGTTTAAATTAGTTCCCTCCCCCCCAGTCTAGTCTTGCAAGTGATGTCTTGACCACATTCTTGCAGTATTCCAACTGTGAGGAATATTTCTCAGATATCTGAACTGTTTGGTTCAAAAACTTTTTTAATCAACATTTCCCAGTAACCCAGTCTAGAAGACTTCAACCGCAAAGACAGAAGCAAAGCTGCTTCAGATGAAAACGCATTGGCAGTCACTATTATGGGTACAAATTGGACGTGGATTTGCATATGTGCACATGTGAATATATAATGCACTGAGAGGGCTTTTACTAAGTTTGGATGCATTACGAGCTTTTATTTATCTCGATATACAGGTTGAAATGGATATTGTTGAAAAACTTGTGAAAATGGTACCCTGTGAACATGAAGACCTGCTGAGCATCACTCTTCGACTCTTACTAAATCTCTCCTTTGACACAGGTCTGAGAAATAAAATGGTACAAGTTGGCCTGCTTCCCAAACTCACTGCACTTCTAGGTATGTTTTCTTTTGTTCTAACATAGACGTTTCAGCAGGGACAGTGAAGCTGTTTGCTTGTGTCATGATATAGTGTGCCTAAAAGCTGCTGTGTCACTTTTCTCTTTGCCAAAGAACTTCTTCACTACTCCCAGCTTTTTATCATTCCAGTCATCTTTTCAGCTGCAGGTTTAAATGGAAGTTTAAAATAATGTGGTTCCCAGTAGATTTATTCCTAGGTTCTTCTAAACTGTTGAAGGAGTCTTTTGTCCTTTAAAAGTACCTTTGATAGCTACCTGAAAACCATGGGAGCTGACACATGAGTTATGCTTGTAATTTTGGGGGAGCACCTAGGAAAAATAGCCAGCAACTTGATGAAGCTTAGCTGATTGAGATACCAAAGACTTTTTTTTTTATGAAGCTTGCTAATACCTGTTGCCTCTTGTTACCTTAATAGTCCAGATAGAAAAGTCAGAAATTTCCCAGCTTTATCAGCTTCAACTTTAGATAGTACTGATTTTTTAGATTTTCAACTTAATGGTCTGTTGCTTGTGTTAAGATGTTGCAAGTACTTCGGATACAAGTGAAACTTTTTGTTGTCCATAGGGGAAAGCCATGGAGACAATAAGGAGTTTGGAAAAACCAGAGGATTGTCTGATTTGATCGTTGTTGTACGCTGGAGTTCTTGGGAGGGAGATTTTATTGCTCCTTGTGTGTTCTTTGGCTGATACTATCTAGAGGCTGCTTTGGTAGATACACTAAACATTGAACAGGATTTGGCCATAAGAATTGCTGAGTGCTCATTTTTAAGTTGAGGATCTTGTGGAGTCCTGAATGTATGTAACACTGATGTAAGATGTTGTTAAAGCTTTCTGAGATGCGTGGGGTTTGGGATGTACTAAATCCAGAGCAGCTGGTGTATCCAGATGTGATTGGAACAAGCAGGATGCAACAGTGAAATCTATGAACTTTCTCACCTAACTTTGTGTAGTCTCTTAGGATTGTTTGCTTTCTCAATTTTGCATTCAATCTCAACATGGCCCTACGGCTGTTTAGTGTACAAGTTAATACCATGAAAACTTACACTGCTTTGGAAGCCTTAATCCTATCGGTGATTAATATAATAGCTACCTGATGTATCTTGAAATGCCTCAGATCTTCTTATGCTTTCTGCCCCACAACCATGTCAGCACTTGATATCTTCCTCTGGGCTGAGCTAGGAGGAAGAAGAAAAAAAATGGCATTTGGAACCCCTCCTCTTTATATATATTTTTTTTCCTCAAGACAATGTTGTTTGGCAGTGAAGTAAACTGAAAAGTGGAAGTTAGTCAGGAAATACAGTTCCTCTCATTTGAGAGGATCTGGTTAGGTAGTCAAGTTCAACTTGGATTGTAAGCTTTTTGGAGGAGGAACTTGTCTCTTTTGTTTGTACAGCAGCTAGTGCTGTGGTCTAAGGTTAGGGCTTCTGGGTGCTTGTCACTCCAAGCAATGATATGACACAAATCACTGAGAAGTCCCCGCTCCCAGAGATTCCCCATTTAATATTAGAGTCAGACTAAACTCATCAGTTAAATATCTGCTTTCTAGTGTCTGATTCTAATGTGGAGAGGAGAATTCCTTTTCAAATGCCATTCTCTTGGATTTGTAAGGAAGTCCGTGCAGAAGGCTGTTTAGCTC